TAAATATCCTATACAGAATCGTTTGTTAACTCCTGATACGACAACAATTCGTGAGTAACTACGGTATTTACACTAGATGGAAATGTACTCTCTTCTAAATCATTTATCTTAAACATATTTTGTGCTAATTCATGTCCATAGCGTCCACGAAAACAATTCACTGATGTTGCAAAAAATGTAAAGACTTCACTTAAATGAAGTTTTGGTTGCTGGCTTGTAAAAACTTTAAAACTTAAACCTTCTCTTCGATTCGAGGCAATTGGTTATTATCTTTTCCTGAAGGCAAAATATGAAAAAAGAAAAAAAATGAAAATGAGATTATTGTTCAGAAAATTACCTGCATAGACTTTGTACAAAGATCCTAATTGAATAGCCGATCGTAAGGTGCCTGAACAGCGCCTTGGATTTCATTTTATATAATTCTCTGCTTTCGCTCAATTTTAGAGGTGAATCATCTTGTTTCAAAACAAATATTTCACATAGTTTGGCGTTTTATTTCCTAGATTACACAATGCCAAGTTGTTTGTTTCAAAAGGAGATTTCTAACCGAGGATAACCTCACTAGATGACGAACATGTCTGAATCAACTTCTCATGATCCTATCGGTCGCTCAAGGACTGAAATTAGCGTCGAAGTGACTATGGCCACTCTTGTTTGCCTCTCAGCCATGTTGGGGAACTTACTCGTTGTGTTTGTCATCAAAAGAGACTCCAAGCTCCATAATGTCACCAACATGTTCATTCACAGTTTGGCATTAACAGACATTGCCATGGCAACGATGTACATGCCATTCTGGATAGCGAGCCTATATACGGGAACTTGGAATTTCAGCCAAGTATGTTGTCAGGTGGCAGGATCAATTTTGCTCATTCTGGCTTATGCTTCCATGTTAACGGTGGGATTAATAGCCCTAAATCGATACATTCAAGTCGTAAAACCCAATTTGTACAAAAAGTTATTTCCCAGTAAAAGAGCAGCTAGGTTGTATTGTGTTCTCGTTTGGCTGGTTGCCATTCTTCTCGCTATACCTTTTCTTGGCGGATGGGTGGGGATAACATATTATACAAGAACTAGCATTTGTAGTGTAGAGTCCAGTGTTTACATATTATTGATTGTGGGCGTAGTTATAACCGGAATCATGATCACAATATTTTACTGCTACTTCAAAATCTACAAGGCCGTGAGAGAAAGCAAGGATATTTCAAAGGCACACGCTGATGGAAACAGAGTCTGCCCATCAAATGATTCCCGCCGTTCAGACATCACCGACGTGAAAGTTTTAAAGGCGTGCTTTACTGTGGCTTGTTTCTATGTTGTAACATGGACTCCAATTTCCATTATCGCCATCACGTGGAATGCAGGATTTGACTTTGGACAGCAGCTCAGCACAGCAAGCACTTTCCTAATGTTCTCGAGTAGTTTTGTTAATCCCTTCATCTACGGAATTATGAATCCGCAGTTCAAACTAGCTTTCAAGATGGCACTTAAATGTGGCTGCTATGGCAGGGGGAATAAAAATCAGAGTCAAACCGGAAATAGTGTAAGACGCGTGGTTGTAACAGGATTAGAGACTGCATTATAACTAACATTACTTTCATAAGGAACATCACATTTATACAATAAAACTGATGATCAGGATTGTACGATTACGAAATGTTTGAATACAATTAATTATTCTACTTTAATGTCGCCAAAGTAAATGATGTATCGGATGTTTGAATTGTGAATAGTACGTAATAAAGAATCGTGTCTCGCTCTCTAACCTTTTTAGGAAAGTCGACATTCCTCGCAGCCAGTTGCAAAATTCATTATGACCTATCTTCAATCTTGACTTAGTTCTACGTCCTCTATGGTATGTCGTATAGGTCTACAGTTATTTCGGATTCACACATCGTGCGACCCAAACTGTTACGCCTTTTTTGACCAAGACCTTTCCATCAACTTTTACTTTTCAAAACAAGGCTTTAACACTGGGTTACTTGGTACTCATGGGCTCTGTTTAAGACCTAAGTGTAATATTCGATGTAAATACAACTCGCCGTAAACACACTGAAACTTCATGAGCTAGTGACATGGATAACATTTCTCAAGTGCTATTGAAATGCTTTTCACGTGCCTTTCACATGAATGTCATGAAATTTACATGAGCAGAAAAAGTATACGAGGCAACCCAATAATTGTGATAGAAATTCGTATAAGTGTTGCAAGCTAGTACTTTCCTTCTTGAAACATTACATAATGGTAAAATATTTACACAGAATTCAGGCACACCCTTTTCTGAGTCCCAGAGGCCTGTTTCTATTGTCTTCTACCTGTATTGAACGGTCACTTAAAGCAGAAATACTCAAATAAAACTAAGAAAAGCTCTCGAGTATATTTAATCCATAATTATCCCCTAGAATCAATGCTAATGATATTTTTGAGCGGGTTTTCCTACATAAAACTAATTCAATCTCTATTAAGCGGCCACCGCGCCATTCCCCGCGGGTGACTGCTGAATATGGGTTCGGAGGTAGCTTTACAATTCATTACCACTAGTCAAGAGGAATTCGAGTACAGCCTGCTAAAAAGCCCCAGAGGAGTGAGCATGGGCAAACGATGGTCTTCTTTCTTCCTTTTTTGGTTAGAAAACTTTAGTTTTTCTTTCTTATTGATGTTCTCAAGGCTAATGGAACAGGAATACTCGGAGGAGAGAAAAAGGAAAACACTTAACAAGCCCTCAACATTTTTTCACTGCAAAACACTGAAAACTAACAAAATACGATTTGAGTGCTGCTAACGGCCCTGGTCTACATGGCTGTTCTCTTCAAACTACCAATACAGCGCAACACAACCATAAATATTATAGTATACCAAGAAAGCATAACAACTCTTGATCAAGACATCAAGTTCTTGAAATATTTCGCATAGTTTTAGCAGCAGGAAGCCGCTACTAAGGCTTAAAAAAATCGATTGGTTTATCTTAAATCTAAAGCCCGCATAATTAAAACCGCTGTGCTTGGTTTTTGGAAACAGAAATGATGATGAGTTCTGTTAACTTTGGGTAAATGTTGTTTTATTCAGATGGCTGTTGCTATTTACACTGGGGCTTTTTAATTTTTTTCAAGCTCACGTCTCACTCCATTTCTTATTCGATTCTGATTCGTGTCCCGAGCATCATAGTAACCACATTCAAGTGCATTCTTAAAGGTCAGTTTGAACTGTAGATTCATAGTCCCATCGATAAATGGATTTACCAGACTGCTCGAGAACATCAGAAAAATGCTTGCTGTACAGACCTTTTGTGCAACATCAAAGCCGGCTCTCTGTGTGACGGCAATAATGGAGATTTCAGTCCACATTACAATATAAAAAAAGGCACAGAAAAGCATGTCTTTGAAACTTTTACGTCAGCGGTATTTGAACCGCGAGAATCATTTGAGGAGCAGACTCTATTTTCTTTAAAATTGGGCGCCGCGATTTTTCGTATTTTCTTTACAGCTTTGTAAATTTTGTAGTAGCAATAGAATATCACGATCATGACACCGATAAAAACTACGCCTACATTTAATGATATGAATACAGTGAACTCCGCGATAAAAATGCCAGTTCTTGTGCGATATGATATCCCTACTTATCCACAAGGAAAAGTAATGGCGAGCAGAATGGCAACCATCCAAATAAGCCGAGCCGAGATGCAATACAGCCTAGCCTTTGCCCAGGTAAGGTTTGACGACTTGTTTGCATCGATTAAGGGCTATCAATCTCATCGTTAACATGGAGGCATAACTAAAATGAGAGAAACTGATACAGCTACTTGACAACACACTTGACCGGAATCCCAGTATTTGCGCACAATTTTTTGAAGTATCAGGAGTAAAGAGACGCCTATCTTAATGCACACCCAGTGTTTCCCATTTTAAAAACCCTTCTTCAAGAGAGAGAATTACGATAAAGACAATAATTTTTCTTTATATCCTCTTAGCTCCTCCCTTATGTTGCCGTCGAAAAGGGATTGAGTTATGGTTCCACTAACCAACGGTTGCAATGATCAGAAAAATCCTCTCAAGTGCTTTTATCTTCATAGCAATTTGATTAAAAAAGACACTAAACCCTTCTAGAAAGGTGTTAATTCTGTCTGAGACTGTTCATGCATCCCTACTTAAGATCAAAAAAGGGTTTCCAATTATATTATATTATTCTCAGTCGAGCGATCACAGGTCGTTTTTTAACCTTTTGCATTCGGCAAATGGGCTTTGTTTGATGGGTTGAAAATATCTGGGAAAAATATAAGGAGAATAAAGTTTAATAACTCTCCCAATTTACTCTTTCGTTATCTTCGTGTCATAAGCAAAGTTTGCGCTACCTTCACAAATTGATGAACGTTTCGTGGAATTGACGAGTTTCCGTCAAATTAACATGACGTGGCTTAAGGAAAATTAACATACACTTCCGGCTGGATACTCCCTTTTAGCTCTTTATCGTTAATCGTTAAAAAATAAAGGCTACAAAAGTTTACGCCTTTAAAAGATAAACTTTTACGTGAATACGATTTGATTTTGGTTCGTGAAATAGTCCAGAAAATGCGTCTTTTTTCGACTAGACCTTTTATTATCTGTTATCATTTTGATAATAAATTAAGGGCTCGTTATCGTTCATTTCAACTTCAAATCTAAATCAGTTTCTTTATTTACAGTACGCTCAATACAAAGTGTATGATATTCGAAAATTGATTGTGTACCATCAACTATTAAAATGAAATATCAGTTTAAATAATTAGATTCACAAAGGCATTTCTATCGCTGGATGATCAATTATGCTGTGTAAATATCGTCCAATTTCTACCTGTCATCTCAACTACTGCAACTCGATTCCTTGACAGATTCTGATTTGTGTCTGAGTTACCATAGCGACCAAAACTGAGTGCCCTCTTGAAAGCCACTTTGAACAGCGGGTTCACAATGCCGTAGATAAATGGATTTACCATGCTACCCGAGAACTTCAGGAAAATGCTTGCTATATGGACCGTTTGAGGTACATCAAACCTAAAATTCCAAGTGACGATAATAATGTAGACTGGAATGTACGTTATCACAAAAAAACAAGCCACAGTGAAGCATGCATTTAAAACTCTTATCTCAGTGATATTAAAACGGCCAGTATCATTTAGAGAGCGGATTCCGTTTCCTTCAGCGTGTGCGTTTAAATTTTCCGTGCTTTGTCTTACAGCTTTGTAGATTCTAAAGTGACAATAAAATATCATAATCATGACTCCGTTAATAATCACCCCTGCACTAGCCAATCCGTATGCAGTGTGCTCAGAGGAACATATCAAAAGTCGCATGTGAAATTTTATTCCTGCCCATCCACTCAGATAAGTTATGGCCATTAAAACTGCAACCAGCCAAATGAGAACGCAATACATCTGAGCTGCTTTTTTATTGGGGAATACTTTTTTATACAGGGTGGGTTTTACGACCTTCATGTATCGATTGAAGGCTATCAATCCCATCATCAGTATGGAGGCACAACCCAAAAAATTAAAAGTTGATCCTGCCACCTGACACCACACTTGGCCAAAATTCCAAGTTCCCGTATATAGGCTCGTTATCCAGAATGGCATGTCTATCGTTGCCGAGACGATGTCAGTCAACGCCAAATGATGAATGAACAGGTTGGTGACGTTGCGGAGCCTGGAATCTCTGTTGACAACATAAAGAACCAGCAAGTTACCGAACACTGCTGTGAGGCAAATGAGAATAGCCACAGTGACTTCGACCTCTATTTCGGTTCTGGAACGACCAAGAGGATCATGGGAAGTTGTTTTAGACATCCTTGTCAGTTTGAAAGATTATGCACTGTTGAAAAAAAATGTTTTAGAAAAGAACTTGTCATGTGGAACCTCTATAAAGAAATACAGCCAACCTACGATAAATGTAGCATTTGTATCATGATGACTCAACTCTTAGGTTTACCAAAAGCGAGAAATTGCAGACTCAGATTTGAAGACAAACTCAGAAACACACCTTGCGACTGGCTTTGTTTGGCCTCTTGATAGTGGATGGAATGCATGGTTTAAATTCTCTAGACCAATCAAAGATTGAATTGAAACAATATATCTTAATTTGACACTACAATCAATTAAAAATTCCTCTCTCAACGGAAATGATCCTGGATTTTGTAGATAAATTTGGCTGTACATACAATTATCCCATTTTATGATATTTCTGTGTAATGGATTTTAAATTCACTTTAGCCCTATCATTAGCACCTTCCGTATTTTTGAAAAAATAAAACCTTTCGATATCTGGAATTCGATTGTACATTGTTATAGAATATGCACCAGGTATACACCCAATGAGAGAGCTGCCGGACTAGGGATCAGATTGTCAGAGTTCCTCCTTAACTCCATTGATTTATGGAGTGTCACGATTACTAAGATGCTCTAAGTGGACCAACGATTGTTGAGATGGCGATTACGTTCTCAAGCTTGCCGATTTTTCTTGTTTTGTACGTCCTAAATAAGTCATGTGTCCCATAAAAAGGTAAAAAAAAAAGGATTTATCAAACGAATATGATACTCACACTCACGTAAACTAACATCCACTGTTGATTTGCTGAGTTACGCTCATTTTAACGCACTCTGAGGAAATTGTGCCTCAGAAACGGAAACGGTCATAAACAATATATTTTCATTCTCGAAAACCGGCAAATTCAAAATTTGCAACTAAAACTGCAAAAAGGAAACCGATAAATATTCTCATTTCAGAAGCTGGTTGTAACGATGGACGACGAAAAAGAATAAGATCATTCACCAGGCAAGATTCATGATGATCTGGAAACCTCTGAAACAATTCATGTTTAATTTATCAGGAGTTAACAAAATATTATTCAAAGATACTTACACTTATTTTGACGCACATCTATCGGAGATCATAACTTTAAGCACTTTTCAAGGCATCCCGAATATCCAGTGGCTTACTGAGATGGTTTCTCTTATCTTGGAAAAAAACAATTTGTGATGAAGAAAACAACTTTTCTGGGCGGCAATGACTTACCTTGCTGTTCTTTCAGCTTTTTATTAAGAGAAATATTCTTTTGTTGCCGGCGTTTCAAAGTGATTGAATTGTGGTACCACTCCAGAACCAAGGTAGTAAATTGAGGAAGAGATCAGTAAAAGCCTTTTAAAATCTTTCATTTTCTATGAAATTTTATTGAGAAACATTTGACCCTTATGAACAGCTGTTGAGGGTCTCTGAGACTACTTCCAATCGGTGAATCTCACCGAAAATGAAAAAACAAGGGACCTTACCTTAATAAATAAGCCGGCAAGGCCATCGATCTTTTGGCGATAACTTTAGTTTATTACAATGAAGCAATGGAAATTTACCAAATATTTGTAATTGGCTTTTTTTCATGAATTTCAGTTACCTTCTATTTAGATATGCTAATGATCCGTACTTGATATCACCAAAAGGTTTGCATATAAAGGCGGTTGATTAAGTCGGGTGGTTACAGCTGTTTTCTTTATAATTTTTTGCAGGGTTTGTCTGATGTATGAAGAAGATCACAAGAAGTCAGGACGAAAGCGAGTGTAATGAACCTCCTGACGCATTCGAAAACGCATGAATACTAAATCAAGTTTTGTACCATATAGTAGGAGAGGTCTGCGGTGTTATCTTTTAAAGACCAATTTGGGTGCAAGCAGCTTGAAGTTGCTGCTATGAAATGGTCTTTGCCATATTCTTTTCAAGCGAGTGATCCTAACAAATAAAGAACGAAATAATTTTAAAATCTAGGTTTTCCTCGTCGATGGCAGTTCGTGGATGGATATTTCGAAAAAGTCCCTCTAACTGGTCGGCGGCACTATAAACTGCACCCACTAAAAGATCTACTTTCTCAAGATTACGTCGATGTAGAATGAAAAAAAAAACCTGGTAAATCGGCTAACGAAAATTGTATTTTTTTGAGTCTCAGGTGAACTTCAGATCTCCTTGGACAAAACAACACTGACTTGCGTGAATAGACACACGAGTCTTCAAAAATACTCACCCTCATGTTAACGAATATCCATTGGCAATGGGTATGTTATACCCTTTTCAGCACATCCTAAAGAACTCGTAACCGGCAGGAAGCTTTAGGAAAAAGATATTGCTTATCTTAAAATAGCTCTTAACGAGATTTACTTACGATGGCGGTGTTGTTATAGATGAATTATATTATGCTTTTATTCAGAGACGGTACCAAATTGGGAATACAATCACTAAATCCTTCAAAAAATATTTTGTTTTTGCCGCGGGAAATCTAAATGTAAAACACCTGCAATCAAAAGAATCATGAGCTCCTATTTTTGATAGAAAATATTACTTCGAATTTAACGATAAATCATCAGAAATACAGTTTGACCAGTCAAGCGAATGATATCTTTACGATAACAATTTATTAATTGCCTTTTTCGTAAATTTCGTTCTGTTGTATCCCGGTCACGTCGTTCGTAAGACCGTAAATTAGCTCTAAAAAAGGGTCTGAAAATATGGACGATGTGATTCAGTCGAGCGCTATTCGCTGAGTTTTCTTTTTCTTTAACTCATAGGTAGCGCGAATGTTTCGCAAAAACGGGTTTGTATGATGTGGAAATACTTCACAGAAAATAAATCTCCTTCTTGACGGTAATTTTTTTAATTACTTTTTTCCTGTACATCCTCAAAAGACGTTTAGAAATTCAATGAACCCAGCCCAAGCTCTGCTAATAAAGCAAAGATGACTCAAGCCTAGATCTCCAGAGTTCATGGCACTGAGTTTCTATTTCATTTATTTTTTTTCATTTTTACAATTTTTTTAATTCTCCAAACATATGCTTTAAGAGATGTACATTCGCAATCGCTTCGAAACACTATTCTACATATGTATTTCCAATATATATGCGCCGGTTAAAATGAATTCAAAGTCCCTTTTCACATCACTTGAAGAGATTTTAGCGCCAATAACTCACTAATTACATCTTGAATTTGAGAGAAAATGAAAAGCTTTCGAGAAATTTTACTTATAACGATTTTAATTTAAAGCCGACCCTGTGTATAATCTAATTCCCTTAAAAGCTTTCAATCGATTTTCAACTGGTAGAAAATATTATTCCTCAAGCTGAAAGACCTGTTATCGCAATCCCTGGTCAATCTCTTCCGTAGGGTTTTCAAACTGAAAATACTTCGGCGATTTTCCAGAGTTTTTGTTTTCTCCTAAGCGCTAAAGTGACAGAAGTCACATTATTTCTGGTAGTGAGGGTTGAGGTTTAGATCCATCTTATGGTAGTTGGGACGATTATTATTCATTTAAATTTCAAATTAAAATTAAATTTTTCTTCAATTGCTAATGAAACTTTTTACAAAGCACGCTATTTACATTAAGCAGCAAGAAGACTGACTTCACAGCAGTTTAAACCTCAGCACCTAGATATGTTTCTTATCACTTAGACTGCTGATAAATATTGTTGCCGCCGCGTAACTATTCTTTTCATATGACTATTGTCATCGACGCTGCTCATTGTGATTCTACCAGACGCTATTATCCTACTCTATTCCTTGAATGACTCTGATCTGTATTTTCGTTACCATAGCAACCACAGCTGAGTATTCTTTTAAAGGCCTGTTTGAATTGCGGATTCATAAACCCATAGATAAATGGATTTACCACACTACCCGATAACATCAAGTAAACACTTACTTTAGAGAACTTTTGTCCAATAGCAAACCTTGAAATGCCGGTGCCCGCGACAATGGAGACTGGGCACCATGTTATCACATAAAAACAAGCTACGGTGAAGCATACTTTTGAAACTTTGACGTCAGTGATGTTGGAACGGCGAGAATCATTTGAAGAGTGGGCTCCATTCCCCTCAGCATGTGCATTCAAATTATCCGTGCTTTCTTTCACAGCTTTGTAGATTTTGTAGTAGCAGTAAAATATTGCGATCATAACTCCGTTAGTAAACACAGCCCAAGTAAATGTTGGGTATGCATATGACATGAGCTTACATTGATTAAGTTTCTCTTCATATGAAAATCTTACCCAACTAGTAAGAAGAGGTATATCGAGAAGGATGGAAAACAGCCAAACGAGAACACAATACATCCGAGCTGCTCTTTTGCTGGGGAATAATTTTCTGTAAAGGGTCGGTTTTAAGACCTTTATGTATCGATTAAAAGCTATCAATCCCATCGTGAATATGGAAGCATAAGCCAAAATGAACAAAATTGATCCAGTCATCTGACACCACACTTGGCTGAAATTCCAAACTCCTGTGCACAGGTTGGCAATCTTGAATGGCATATAGATCGTCCCCATGGCGATGTCAGTCAATGCCAGATTAAGTATGAACAAGTTGGTGTCATTACGAAGCCTGGATACCTTGCTAATAACATACACAACAAGTGAGTTACCGAACGTGGCTGAAAGGGAAATGAAAATAGCCACAGTCACTTCAATGGCAGCAGTTTCAGCCCGGTAGTCACCAAAAGGATCATTCGAAGTTGATTGAGACGTGTTCGTCATCTTGTTGGGTTACGCTTGGCAGAATAGCGTTTCGCAATAATGATACTTAACCTAGTGGAAAAAGCAAAACAAAAAACAGTCCACCTATGTTACAGGCAGCAAGGACAACGTTTTTGCAAAGATTTATCATTGTAAATGGTGAGTCACTAGAGAAAAAAAATATTAAATCACGATTCACGCGAAAAAAAACGCTTCACGTAAAAGGAATAGTTGACTCTTTGATTAGACAAGAGGGATCTGGCGTTCAAATTTAGTCCACTCTTTGTTTATATGCTTTTCGTACTCATTCCTTGACCATCAGGCGCTGTGAAGGAGTTAGGTAATTAGAGTCGCTCAGAAAATTTGAGTCGAAGCTAGTTGAAATACTCCAGTCAATTTTCGAATGGCCTGCCTCGTTTCCTAATGCTTTGACAAAACTTCAGCTCAATACCTTTCGGAACAAGTATGTTAGTATGCTTGCCTTTAGTATTATTACCTTTAGGCTATGCTTTTATTTTATGTCATGTGTAATATCATTGGGGCAATTAAAGTATTTTCACGATGAAAAATAAACAGCTTTTTTGAGGCAATACAACCCAAAAGGAAGCTCATTCATTGATTAAAAAATGTATTTCTCGAAAATGAAAAATTTAACAAACTGTTCTGCAGCATCTTATTTTATGATATTTCACTGCCATTATGATGTTTAAGTGATTAGACCCATTCAACTTTGGGGTTTTGTTAAAAGATTGAAATCAATTAAATAAGTCTTTAAAATCTTCTGAGAGCTTAGTTATGATGTTTGACCACAGACTCTTCTTAGAACTTTTGTCCTGTACCACATAGATTTAGCTACATTTATACCCGAACTCCTTAAAAGACATGAATAATTAAAACTACAGCTTTCATCATTCTTTACGTGCTTAATATGTAACTGTGTTAAAAGTCCTGAGATTGCAGCGATTGGGTCTAAGAGAGCATTTGTATCTTACTACTGTTATGATCATTATAGCTATTATTATTATCATCATCATTATTTTTTATCATTTTTAATTATTCATTTAATAACTTTTATCAACCGATATATGTAAAATAATGGCAAAGTCTCAATGCGTCTCAAACAATGGGTTAAATGTTGGAAATTTTAATGTCCGTCTCAATCGCTGTTGTCAAAAGCAGATGAGACTATTGGAGTTCGTCCATGCCTCTCTTTTTTTCTTGATTGTCATAGTCACTTCTAACTGATTACAAGTTCATCAGCGATTGCTGTGATGGCTATTTCCATCTCAGAGGAAATTTCGTTTTTGTGTCTTAGATAAACCGCGATTCCCTTAGAGGAATTAAAACTTGAAGGATTTTACCAAATAATCTTCACTGATACTTACACAAATATTGACAAACACGTACTAGTGATCAATGTGTTAACTGCGGATCCCTTGGAGGAAAGAATGCTTATCTGGAGGAGTTAACAAACGAATCTTCACAGATTCTCTCTTTCGTGCAAAGTGACATCCAGTGTGGTAATGGTTGAGATATAAGCTGTTGAGCGCACCCTCAAGAACTAGTGGCCAACAAGATTGGGTGGGAAATAAATATCTATCATTTTGAGCTAGTCTTCACGACAATGACTTATCTAGGCGATAATGACAGATCTTATACCTTCTTAAGCTTTTCATCTGAAGAAATTTTCTTTTGTTTCTTTTTGCTTTTAAATATTGGTTCAACTCTGCCACCGTTATAAATTCAGGACGCCAATAGTAAAACGCCATAGAAATCTTTAATTTTCTATAAAATGTAATGAAAAGGAACTTGACATTTATTGATAGCTGTTAAGGCTATCGGATTCCACTTGCAATCAATTAGATGTTAGCTTTAACTCCTTTATTACTAATAGGAAAAAGGTCCTCGAATTTAACAATGAAATATGAGATACAAATTTTGAGGTCAAAGCGATTTATCTTTTCTAGAGTATTTCAGTTTACGCCATCTAGGAAAAACATTATGAATATCTTTCCGAAACTTTAACTGAGGTGCTATTCAGGTAAATCAGAGTGTTCATAAATCACGTGATTTAGAATATAGTCGATGTGATTCTCGATCAATCAAGTGCTTTGAGTTCCAATATTTTAGATCGTCGTTTAGAGAAATTTCCACCACTTACTGGATTTATGTCTGTCGCGTTACAAATATTATAACACATAACACCATTAACAAAGCGTGGGTTCCTAGCAATTACCACCAAATTCTAAAAATAATAAAAAATAAAAAAACTCAATGCAGCTGGGTTGCCTTTTTTACTGGGAAATACTTTTCTATAAAAGCTGGGTATTACGACTTGTATTTTTCTATCGAAGGGTATCAATCCCTTAGTTATATTGTGTCCATATGAAATGGACACAATTGATAATGACGCCTGACACCGCACTTGGCCGCAATTTTAAAGTCAGCTTGTAAGTTTACACCCGATGTAAAAAAATATCTCATGGAGAATAACTTGTTGTGTGAAATCTAGATATATAGAAACCCAGGCAAACTATCTTAACGGTTCCGTTTGTATCATAATGATTCAACTTGAAAGAATGAAATCAAGCAATCGTAGATTCATAGTTAAAATCGAGACTGGTTATGGTTTTGCATTGTGTTCGTTGATGGATTGGTGCGAATTTTCTAGACAAATCTGCGAGCGTGGTGCAGATTGGGTGCAAGCGTAGTGATTGATTTTTACTCAATTGAGAATTGGTGTCCCAGGGAAACGATCAAGGATTATGTTGATGGGATAATCTTCTTATTGGGAAATTTCCGGCCAGTCATTGCACAAATTGTTAACCATGAAGCATGGATCTGAGAGCAACGGATGCGTCGTGTAAGAACTTGTTTTTTTTCTTTTTCAAGTCCAGGATAAACTGTGGATCCCCTGAACAGAATAATACTGAGCTGAAGGAATTAACAAACAAGTCTTCACAAAATGATAATCATACTAATGTAAACGAACACCTAGTGGTGATGACTGTGATATAACATTTTTAGCCCATTCTTAAGAACTCTTCTCTGACGAGACGAGTTCTTCATGATTAGGAAATAGGTGTTACGGACTTTTAAATCTTCGTTGAAGAAATTAATTTGCGTTGCGGAAAAACTTAATGCTAATCGGTGAAAATGACAGCGCTTCACTAACTTTAGTCTCTTGCTGCTGTATAGATACTATTGTAAATAATTAAATCTTTTCTTTTCGGAAAAATCCATATGGGAACCCTCGATGTCCTTATACAGCCCTCAAGGCTTTCAAAAATTCGGAAACCACTCGCAATTAGTGAATGAAAAGCTTTAAAATCTCGATTAGAGATGGGAAAATCGACTGAAATAAGGTTTGAAAAGGGAAGCCATCATCTTTTTATGATAATTTCAGTGTTCCAAGAGAGGATCTTCTCTTACGAGCAATTCATACAAGAATAAAAATTCACAAATTTTCCAATTTCCTTTTTGGTAAATTTCTGTTCCTTGGAGATGAGTTTATGTTCCGTAGATTAGCACTAATAAGAAGATATGTCAATTAAGCCGATGCGATTCGCAGTCAAGCGTTCACAACTTTTTTTGTTGTTGTTATTTTTGTTGTTATTATTATAATTATTATGATTAAAATTATTATCTTTCTGACACGGTTAGATGCTTCTTTGGTTTAAATATTCAACGAATGTAACCGCGAAGTTACGATTCAATTTCGATACTCCTGTCTGGTGACAGTTAGTAAACCAGCTTTCCAGAGTCAGTTGTTGAAAGTAGTTGGTGCTGGAGGTTAGGCATTGCGCAGCGTCCCAGTCAATAGTGTGGTTCGTAAGTCGGTGATGTTCAGCAATGTGATTGTTGACATCGCCCTTCCTCGTCGCTCGTTTGTGTTCAGTCAGTCTAGTTGTGAGGTTTCTGCCAGTCTCACCGATGTAGGTAACGTGGCAGTCGGAGCAATTGATCTTATAAACTGCTCCTTGTCATTTCCTCGGTTCGTCTTGGTCTTTGACGTTAGTCAGCAACTGACGTAGTGTGGTAATGGGTTTGTGAGCGACGCGGATATTAAATGGCTGTAGGATGTGCGAAACGTTCTCAGATATACTCTTTATATGCGGTAGAGTTGCTGTAGTCGTGGGAGTTGCGTTGTCGTTAGCTTTGGTAGTAGTAATAGATCTGTGAGTGTTTCGTCGGATGAAGTCTTCGTTATAATTGAAAAACACGGTCAAGGTACTTGTTCTCGTCGGATAAGCTGTCTGTGGTGTTGCACACTAGTTGCGTTCGTCGCGTGAGAGTCCTTATAGTTGTGGCTTGGTGTGATGTCGGGTTGTAGGATGACTCGTCCAGTAATCTGTCGGTATGTGCCGCTTTCCTGTAAACTGTTGTCCGTAGTGAGTTGTCGTCACGGCTTACCAGGCAGTCTAGAAAAGTTAGTTAACCATTTTCTTCTACCTCTCTGGTAAACTGTATGTCAGTGTTTTGTGGTGGTGGAAAGCCTCGATTTCGTCGAGTGGTACGGCAGTGAGAGTATCGTCAACGTAGCGTAACCAAAGAGGTAATTTAGTGTTAACAACTGAGTTGAAAACGTAAATTAGCCACCGTAAAAAAAAAAAACTGACGTTTCGAGCGTTAGCCCTTCGTCAGAGCGATTGTAAAGAGGTATTGTCTGTCAGAAAGTCGAAAGAGCGCTTTCCTCGATGTTCTGCATCACAATTTCTGCAACAACAACAGAAACTGGAGACCTCATGGCTGTACCGTGTAACTGTTTATAGTGTCTACTGTAGTACTGAAAGTAAGTTGGCGTAAGGCGCAGGTTAAGTAAGTCCATAATGCCCTCTGTCGGTAGCGGTAGAGGATCGGTAGATTGTCGGATTGTAGTCTCAGTACATTGTAGTGTCAGTTAAAGTGGAATACTTGTAAAAAGCGATTTCACATCAAACGACACCAGTTTGTAGTCGTCTAATATCTGTAAAGTCTTGGTGGCGCTAACTAAAAGTATCTGTTTGATTTGTTTTTATCCTCAATTTATTAGCAAAGACTGCACTATGTTCATAGAATAACTAAACGTTTCATCAGGATGTGCACGACAAATACTTCATATCAGTACAGCCAAAATTTAAAAGAGGAAGTTTAAGGACATTTAGTTTAGATTTCGCTTTTAGTTAATTTTTCCGGTCATTCATACACGTTTGCTTTAGGCGCCTCATATGAATTTCGCTTCACTGTACCACATTCCTTGTTTCTCGCGTTAATATTGCAGAGAAAAGAAAAAAAGAAAGGTTTTCAGCTACTTTTCAGTCATCAAAAACAATATTCCATGAAACAAAAAGAATTAAAAACCAAACGAAAGTCAAATACAGAAAATGAAGGTTCCGCAGACGGCCATAGAAGTGTTATTTTTGAAACGCTTTATTTGTATAATTTGAAGTAACTTGGCTAGTTAATGATTATCACATAATACTTTTCTTATATTTAGTCGATGTAAGTCTATGTGCACGTGAAGAGATTAGGTTTCATTACTTGCTATCTGTATTTCCTGTACCAGCTACACAGTACCAATTTCATGTCATCATAATTTTGGATTGATCAGCTGTCATGGGACCTAGATCATAGTTAGTTTTCCTTTTGTTTTATATTATCCATTATTATATATATTCTTTATGTCTATATTAACGGTTTATTTCACTTGTCCCATTTACTGTATAATTACTTTATTGTTAGTTAGGTTTGAGTTAAATTTCGTAGAGCATTTTCCTTATTTTTCGATATATACCACAAAAGGCATCCACACAGCAACCCAACTTCAAAACTTCGCCACTTTACAGGTCTTAAAGTCCATAGAATTCTGCTATAGTAATCCTTTTAAGGTTACGTGGTTTCGCATCGACTTATTGCCTTCATTTTGTGACCTTTCGTAATCTACCAGAAACATTTAATTAGTAATAGTAATAGGAACGAGTGGATTCTAATTCGGTCTGTAATCATACAAGTGGTTAACAAAATCAGCCAACTGCGAACCGTGAGTCCGATTTGTTAGTCACGAGTATGATTACATACAGGATTGGATGACACGAAGTCCTGTTACCAATTAATCAAAACTATGCCAAAATTTAAAGAAACTTGTCATTGGTTGTACGTTTTACAGGAACAAACAACAGTTAACTCAACGAAATGCGCGACGACCGTGAATTAACTGTGCTCAACTGGTAACCTTTGAGGTTACACGAAGTACATGGCCGCAATTTTTTATTTGCCAGTAAAACTCTTTTTTTAAGATTACACTATGTACATCAAGTTTCGAGGAGACGGCGGGGGAAGGTTTGAAGTAATCTGTAGACATCGACACGGTTCGGAAGCCAGCACTGCTGAGAACACCACTGATTATGTTTCTTTGGCATTCAGACCTTTTGATAAGTTTCCTGCCAGGATACTGTTGCTTTTTTTCGTGATTGTTGCTGTCCATACTTTCATTTCTGTATCTCCTGGAAGCCCTGTTTCTATTCTATTTCTTATGCAATTATGATCTGTATTTTCGTTGCCAAAACGATAGCAGCGGAGTGCTCTTTTAAAGGCCCGTTTTAATTGCGGATCCATAAAGCCATAGATAAAGAACATCAAGTAAATACTTGCTGTCGGGATCTTTTGTGCAATATATGTGCAGTATCTATGGGGGGTGGGAAGATTATTATTCGTTTGAATTTCAAATTAAAACAAAAATCAATTACTTTTTTTCGCCCTGATATTGAAAAGAAAAAACCACGAAAAATGAGTTTTCAGCTGAAGTTTCACTCATCGAAAAATCACAACTAAACAATCAAACAAAAATAATACAGAAATTGAAATTTCTGCATTACCACAATTTGAAGAACATAGCTGCCATTTTTTTCTTCAAATGCCAATGAAACTCTTCACAAACTACGCTATTTACTTTAAGTGGTAAGAGGACGGCTGAGGAAGGCTTGAAGCCTCAATATGTTGAACTCATAACAGTTTAGAACCCAGCACATGTATCATCATCATCATCATATTTTTATTTGCCTTATTTACACAATACAAAAAAATTTATTTACAGCGGTTATAGCTAGAAGGCGAGGAGACCCAGGAAGCCACCGGGCTTATGGGAGAGCCACCTCGCTTACATTAATAAATAAAGTAAAGAAAAAGTGCTGCGAATGTGCGGGTAGGCCAATTCAAGGATTATTTAAGTAAAAACTCTTGCATTTTTGGTTTAAAACTAAGAAGGTTTGACGAACGAGTGACTGAAACAGGAAGAGAGTTCCAAATTTTAGGACCTTGGTAAAGAATTGTAAATTGCTTGAGATTTGTACGGCACAAATGCGTTCGATAATTACTGGCTGTTCTGGTAACATAGTTGTGAATTTGGCTATTCGTTACAAAAAGATTGAGAAGCAATGGAAGCAATAAGTTATTTTTAATAATAAAACATGAATTTGGCGATTTCAAACGTATTGACTTGGAAAATATCTAAAATTCCTAGTTTAGAGAATAAAGGAGCGGAATGGGCTCGATAGTCTGAGTTGGTGATAGCCCGCACAGCTCGCTTTTGCAAGAAATAAATTCTATTTAAGTTAGATACGTATGTGGACGACCAGGCACAGTTACAATAGACAATATAAGGATAAATATGTATATGTTTCTTATCATTTAGACTGCTGATAAATATTATCACCACCGCGTAACTATTGTTTTCATATGACTATTGTCATGGATGCTGCTCATTGTGATTCTACAAGATGCTATTATCTTACTCTATTCCTTGAGTGACTCTGATCTGTATTTTCGTTACCATAGCAACCACAACTGAGTGTTCTTTTAAAGGCCTGTTTGAATTGCGGATTCATAAACCCATAGATAAATGGATTTACCATACTACCCGAGAACATCAAGAAAATGCTTGCTCTATAGAACTTTTGTCCAATAGCAAACCTTAAAACGCCGGTGCCCGCGACAATAAGGACTGGGCACCATGTTATCACGAAGAAACAAGCTACGGTGAAGCATGCTTTTAAAACTTTTACGTCAGGAATGTTGGAACGGCGAGAATCATTTGAAGAGTGGACTCCATTCCCCTCAGCATGTGCGTTCAAATTGTCCGTGCTTTCTTTCACAGCTTTATAGATTTTGTAGTAGCAGTAAAATATTGCGATCATAACTCCGTTAGTAAACACAGCCCCAATAAATGTTGGGTATGCATATGACCTTAGCTTACAATGATTAAGTTTCTCGTCATATGAAGACCTTACCCAACCAGTAAGAAGAGGTATGGCGAGAAGGATGGAAAAAAGCCAAATGAGAGCACAATACATTCGAGCTGCTCTTTTGTTGGGGAATAATTTTTTGTAAAGGGTCCGTTTTATAATCCTTATGTAACGATTAAAAGCTATCAATCCCATGGTGAATATGGAGGCGTAAGACAAAATGAAGAAAATTGATCCAGTCATCTGACACCACACTTGGCTGAAATTCCAAACTCCTGTGCACAGGTTGGCAATCTGGAATGGCATATATATCGTCCCCATGGCGATGTCAGTCAATGCCAGATTAAGTATGAACAAGTTGGTGTCATTACGAAGCCTGGATACCTTGTTAATAACATACACAACAAGTGAGTTACCGAACGTGGCTGAGAGGGAAATGAGAATAGCCACAGTCACTTCAATGACAGCAGTTTCAGCCCGGTAGTCACCAAAAGGATCATTCGAAGTTGATTGAGACGTGTTCGTCATCTTGTTGGGTTACGCTTGGTAGAATAGCGTTTCGCAATAATGATGCTTAACCTAGAGGAATAAAACAAAACAAAAAAACAGTCCATCTATGATAAAGGTAGCACGGGCAACGTTTAATTACAAAAATTCGTTCACGTGGACATGCAAATATTTTATCATCGTACGATTCACTAAGAAAAAAAAATCGCCCAACCACACTTCACGTAAAAAGTATAGGGGACCCTTTGATTACACAAGAGGGATCTGGCGCTCAAATATAGTCCACTCTCTGTTCGTATTCTTGTTCTGCTCGTTCTTTGACCTTCTTTGCTGTGAACGAGTTAAGTAAAGAGAGTCGTTCAGAAAATTTGAGTCGAAGCTCGTTGAAATACTCAAGTCAATTTTCGTATGGCCAGCCTCGTTTCCTAATGCTTTGACAAACTTCAGCTCAACCCCTTTCGGAATGAGTAAGTAGGCTGCCTTTAATAAGATTAACTTTAGGCTATGCTTTTATTTACGTTACTTATGTAGGGGACGAAAATTTACCAAGATGACTAATATATCATTAAAATGACATATATTCACATTATATCGTGTTAAGCGTTTTAGTGTATGGTGGTGTTTAATATTGCTGGGGTAATAGTAGTGATGAAAAATAAACAGCTTTTTTTAGGCAATACACCCCAAGAGAAAGCTCATTGCATTGCTTAAAAAATTTCATTTAAAGGAAACTAAAAATCTAACAAACTCTTCTTCAGCATTTAATTTTATGATATTTCGTTATCTATCTTTAAGTAATGAGACTCCTTTCAACTCCTGTGGTTTTGCCAAAAGATTGGATTCAATTTAAATAAGTCTTTAAAGTCTTCTGAGAGCGTAGTTATGATGTTTGGCCACAAACTCTTCTTAGAACTTCTTTCCTGTATTACATAAATCTAGCTATGGCTACATTCACGCCTGAACTCCATAAAAGAACTTAAAACAACAGCTTTTATCATTCTTTACGTGCTAAATATATAACTCTGTTGACAGTCCTGAGATTGCATTGATTGGGTCTAAGAGCGCATTTGTATCTTATTATTATTATCGTCATTATTGCTATTATTATTATTATTATTATTATTTGTCATTTTATTTATTTATTTATTTATTTATTTTTATCAACCGATATATGCAAAATAATGGCGAAGTCTAAATGCGCCTCAAAACGGGTTAAATATTGGAAATTCTAATGTCTGTCTCACTCGCTGTTGTCAAAAGCAGATCAGACTATTAGAACTCGTCCATGCCTCTCTCGTTTTCTTGATTGTTACAATCCCTTCTAACTGATTACAAGTTCACCAGTGATTGCTGTCAGTGATAGCGATTTCCATCTCAAAGGAAATTTCGTTTTTGCGTCTTAGATAAAAAGCGGATCCCATAAAGGATTCAACATTTAAAGGATTTTACAAAATAATTTTCACATATACTCACACTAATATCTGAAGGAGTTAACGAACGAAAGTTCACAGATTCTCACCTCCATGCGAAGTGACATCCAATGTGGTAAGTTACGGCTAACGGTTAAAATTTTTTGGCCAATTTACGGCTAACAGTTACCACCTTTGCATTGTTTTCACCAGAAAAATTTCTTTACAACTAACGGTTAAAATTTGTCAACTTTTACGCCTAACGGCTAAATTTTTGGCAGTTTTACGGCTAATAGTTAACCCCATTGAGATCCTCATAGCAGTTAAGGCTATCGGATCCATTGTTAGCTTCAACTCCTCTATTAGTGTAGGAAAAAGGTGCTCGAATTTAAAAATGAAATATCAGATACAAACTTTGAGGTCAAAGCGACCGATCTTTTCAAGAGAATTTCAGTGTACGCCATCAAGGCAAAACATTATAAATACCTTTCAGAAACTTTAACTGATGTGCTATTCAGGTAAATCAGAGTGTTCATAAATCAAGTGATTTAGAATATAGGCGATATGATTCTCGATCAATCAAGCGCTTTGAGCTCCAGTATTCTATATCGTCGTTGAGAGGAAATTTGTAGCACTTACTGGACTAATTGATATCTGACGCATTAAATATATCATAGGAAGACTGTAAGAAACAGAGCGCTATGAACTTTCTTAGTTCCAAACTTGTGCTTTCTAGCTTGACACCATTACTTGAGCGAGGGTTTCCAGATATTACCACCAAATTCTCTGAATCACCAAGCACTTAACGTTTCATGTGGATTGCACGACAACTGACCCACACAATCACCACCAACTTAATTTATCTTTCCTCCTGGTTGTTATTGAATATTTCTTTAGCAATGCTTTTCTTGGAAACTTCAGAGGAAAAAAAAAAGAATAGGCTATGAAAGTTTGCTCTCTCAATATGAGAATTTTCTAGTAATTGTGACCAGATTTCGGTCCAAAAATTCGTCCCAGATTCTTATGTGATTTTACAGAGAAACTTTATTAATCGCTTACAATTAAAAATGTGCAGTTGGAATGAAAAAATATATCTTTGACATGAAAGTTTAAATTTAACGCGTTTTCTTTCATAACTTTGTAGATTTTAAAGAAGCAGTAAAAATATGATCATAACTCTGTCAATAAACATGCCCACAACCCATTTTGGACTCTACGTTGGACTCTACGTTTCAAATGCCCAGTTTAGTATGATATTATTTCCTTACACATCCTTCAAGAAATGTATGGCGAGATAAAATGCAACCAGCCATGAAAAGAATAATTATAGATAAAAAAAATAAAACAAAAATTAAAAAAGCTGGGTTGCCTTTTTGCTGGGAAATACTTTTCTATAAAAGTTGGCTATTACGACTTGTATTTTTCTATTAGAGGGAATCAATCCCATAATTTATACGGAATGAACACAACTCAACTGATAATGACACCTGACACCGCACTTAGCCGAGTCAGCTTAAATCTTTGTTGAAAAAATACCATGCGTTCGCGGAAAAACTTAATGTTAATCGGTGAAAATGACAGAACCTCCCTCACTTTAGTCTTTTGCAGCTGTTTAGGTACTATTGTAAAGAATTAAATCTTTTCTTTTCGGAAAAATCCATATGGGAACCCTCGATGTCCCTATAGAGCCGTCAAGGCTTTCAAAAATTCGGAAACCACTTGCAATAAGTGAATGAAAAGCTTTAAAATCTCGATTAGAGATGGGAAAATCATCAGAAATAAGGTTTGAAAGGAAGCGATCAATTTTTTTTATGACAATTTCAGTGTTCCAAGAGAGGATGCTCTCTTAGCCGCACTTCACACAAGAAT